AAACAGAGGCGTGACTGTGTAAAGGACAACAGAAAGCACCTTTACAAACCGGTGTCAAGTCTAAGTTTAACAAATGCAATATTTGCTCATACGTTGATTTCATCGGGCGTGCGGGAACAAATCAGAGAGTTTAGATGGCTTTAGCATCAGCGTCAAGTATGTGTTCAAACATTGGTCCTCCAAAAGCTCTCTCATACTTCACAGCCTTCTTTTCAGTTTTTCTGATAATTTTAACTATTCCTGGAATCTTTCTCGTCTGTTTGGCCATCATAAAAGATCCCTTCAGGAACTTGAAAACGCCTTTTAACTATTTCCTGTTAAGTCTAGCGGCCACTGATCTGGTTGTGGGTACGATTATGGATCCAGTGTCAGTTGCTTTTCACACCAGCGAAGCGCTTCAACTTGACATCGTAGATATCAAAATCTTGCACAATTTGTACTTTATTTTGCGCACGGCGTCTATTTTAACACTCATGGCACCTACCGTGGACAGATATGTGGCAGTATCATCGCCAGTGAAGTAAAAAACAATGGTTACCTCCAAGCGCGTTATTTTAACATCCCCGTCAATTTGGTTGGCAGTACTAGGGTTTTCTTTTGCATGCTTCCAACTCGGATTTATATTCTACTCCTTCATTTTTGCAAACACTGTTGTTCTCAGCACGTTTGGTCTTCTCATCTTTGTTCATGTAGGGATACTTAAACGACTGCGAAAGAGGAGAGCAATGGAGAGCACGAAATCTGATGTACAGGAGAACCAAAAAAGTCTTATCAATGCAAAGAAGGACAGCAAGGCAGCTAAAGCATTGATGATTGTGCTTCTTGCATTTTTTGCTTCGTTCACACCAGTCTGTGTTATGATTTACTTGTTAAATTTTTGCTCAGACTGTAGTTGTGAGCTTATTCGTTGGTTGCGGGATTTGCAATTCTTGATTGTGTTGTGTAACTCTGGTATCAACCCTTATTTATACGCATGGAGGCTTCCTCAGTTCAAAAGAGCTTTTTACAAGCTTCTTCATCTCAAGGCACGCACTAAGATAAGTGACATTACCACAACGTTAATTCATGTCACTGGTAAACGAGAAACTAGCCAAATACCTGAAACTCTTAGCGGTGAAGAGGAAAGGATCTCATTCGTGTAATAAAACTTTACAAAAATAAACACATAATAATTTGCATTCTTAAAACACCTGAATATAGTGCGTATTTAAAATTTATCAGAATGAGTGGTGAAAGATTTTGGAACAACTTACTCTTATTTCTATCTACAAACATTACCCTATCGATATTACTGATCCCAGCAGTATGCAGGACGTGTGTCATATGAACTTCGCAGTAGACTTCGCTCACTGTGGAGTCTCTGTGGCTCAGTGGTTAGAGCATCGGAGCGCGGAATCCGAAGGTCTCAGGTTCGATTCCTCGGAACTTTTTCTTTGTCCTCGAAAAAACATTCTCAGGAGCCAATGGGCTGATTGTTACTGATCCATGTGGTTCCAATTCATCTGCAAATTCGGAGATGACTGCATTTGACGGGAGAATTGTTCATAACCGTATAAATGGGTTTACTATATGCCATGGAATCTTTAGAACAGGTTTTGTCCGTACGCCTTTGGCAGAATTTTCCACCCATCAGGAGAACAAAGTACCTTTGAGGTGGCGCCAGTCTCATTACGTAATACACGAGGTGCGTTTTTTCAAACTTTAAATACAATCAATTTAACTCCTCAGCTTATTGTCAGTCGGCGGGTAAGTTGGTAAGTTTAACAACCTAGAGCTCTACCAGGGTCTAGAATATGGGTTGACTCTCCTTTTAGATCATTATCAAAATTTCAGTATCAAATCATTCCACGTTATCCTCTTATATGACTTCGATTACATTGTGGTGTCCCTTTAAGTTCTGTTCGTTTTCAGGACGGCAGGAAAAAGGCAATAAAAAAGGCTTTCTTTTGTGCAAATTGAGGAGTGTATGCTGGGATGGCGTACGCTCATCATCGGTTGGCCCCGTTTTCCTCCAAATCTAAAGACGCTACCAATAATCCACAATTTAATTTATTATACGCTAGAAAGAAAGAAAATATGAGGCATTTAACTCTCCTTATACCTAGAAATAATAATTGATAACACTGTATTATTATTATTATTATTATCATTAATATTGAGCATGAAAAATAGGAGCCAAAAAACGAGGGTTGCTACGCCATCGTGTATTTGAAGCTGACAACGAAGACTGAAGGTTTTTTTCAGAGAAAATCATGGTGTCGACCCTCATTTTAAAGCTCACTGGTGAAATATCGATTGGCCAATAAGGATATAGGTTTTCGCTCTCTTTGACAGAGTCGTCGTTCTTTAAAGCAGAGCCTTCTCTGGTAATAGCAGGATCTTCGCTTGTTATAACCGAACCTTCTGCTTTCATGGCAGATCCTTCCTCTTTCTCGCTTATTCTCAACATATTTAATGGATTACGTCCGATAAGTTCAACAGAAAGTCCAAAAATGAGACAAAAAAGACCAGATACTACAAACGGCGTCACGTCCATATTGAGGATGGGTAAAATTATGTTTTGTACCTTTGCAGGAAATTTTTTAAATTTGTTTTGACCACCAGCTTTAAAATTTATGCAGAAACGGGTTTTTCTAAAACATTATGATGCACATTTCAAATCGTACACGAACCGGGGAAGGGTGCATTCGTTTCAATTATATGAAAAAGGCTGTGAGGAAGGGGGGGGGGGGGTTTCCTACCCTGAATTTCAAATACTTCAACTCCGCAGATATCTTTGGTATATCTGTACTTTCCTTATGGTATGGGGTACTTTTCATCTACCTTTAATAAATCAATACAAAACTCAAACGTCTTGCAGTAGCAAGAAGAGGGGAAAGTATCTTCAAAACATTTCTTTTTTCTTTTGTAAGGTTTGTAATCTTCGATTAAATGCGTCGGTTGCAGCTTTCCTTATTGTTTTCCCTACAGCAGCCCTTGAAGCCCCTTTCTCTATATATCTTTAGCCTGACAGTGTCAAACTTTTTAGAGGTGCAACCCAGAGTACAGTTTATCGTAAGTACTCCCCCGTTCTCTTGACGAAAGGCATAGAAAGCAATATTTGGTAACCTCATAGAGATGCGTTATTAGAATGCCTTCTCCGTTGAGAGATATTTCTTACTTTAAACGGTAATTTTGAAGAATTAAAACTAGTACCCTCTTTTGAATCATTAAAGCAGGCAACGCTTAAATCGTGACCGTTGTGTGTTTTACCGTTCACACCGTGGTTTCCCTTTTTTAAAATAAAAAGACCACTTTCTCGATGAGAATTTTGCAAAATTGTGTAATTCCATTGACATGTCACTTCACCATAGACACTGTTTGCATTATTGTCACTATCATCTTCGTTATAATCAATATTTACATTATCATTTGCTTGTTAAAAAAAGATGAAAGACGATGAGAGAAATGGCCAGCATATTATTTCGATTGTTTTGTCTTGTTGAGTGGGCTCAGTTAAGCTTTGTCAGGATTAAAACTAATTTGCGCCGGAAAAAAAGAATCAAAAATTAAGGAAATATGTTATCGTATAACCGTCTCATTCTTCTTTAGTATCTCTACGAGCGCTTAATTTTGTTATTTATTTATTAATTTATCCATTCGTGTTTTTTTGCGGATGTCTTTTATCTCGCGCAACGCAATCTTATAGAAAACCATTACGCTAACATATTTAAAGCTGGGTGGCGGTTAACGTGAGCCAGTCCGGATACACTCGCCAGCTTTGTCTATACTTTTTAAAAAAACCTGAATTTTTTAACGAGTAGGCTTTAGCAGACCGCTGCATGTTTTCCCTTTTTATTCTGCTGGCTGGGAGGTTATGGTGCATGGGTAGCTAAGATCAAATCACAAGAGGAATTATGTTACTAAGAGAGCTACCTTAATGTCGGATTAAAATAAAAGACACCAAAATAAAATACATCATTGGCAGCCAACGAACGTGCTACATTGGCGGGACGCGTTGCATTTCTATTCGTTCGATCTTATCTGTTAGTATGAAATTTAACGTGAATTTCTCTGCGGCAGGTGATGATATAAATTTCACATTATGGTTAGATGTTGAAAGTTCTGATGCCTATCAGCCATCAGTCTTGGCACGTTTTGACAAAGACGGCCGATATCTATCGAAACCGCCAACATTTGACTGTATGCCAAGAAGATTACCGGCTGCAGGGAAAGAGGTTATGTAAAATAGGTTGAGCTTACTCCAGCCAGATAAAATTCTTCAAGACTTTACTACTACTTTTACTATAGCTGAGCTATATATGCCTAGCTCTGTAGCTCAAACTGATTGGGATTTGTTGCTGTTCCATGATTCTTAAAATTAAGGACCAATATCATGCCTTTCTTCAATGGTGAAGCAAAAATGACTGCAGCAGCAGTGTAAGGGGAAAGATCCACCTATGTTTATAGTAAATTGCTTATAGTAAATTGTGAATAAAAATCAGTTTATTGCGAATTACAGGGGCAATAACTCGATGTTTAGCTAAACATCAATATAAATGCCTCGATATAAACCCTTTCACTCTAAAGATCTTGTTAGTAATTCTCCTTTCTGTCTATCAGACAGTTTTTTATGATGGTAGTTTGGAGAAATTGGTATTGGGTCAACTGATAATCTACTCAATGATGTTTTTCCTTATTCTCATTAGTTGTTTGTTTGATATTGTATTGAAATCGTAAAGAGAAAGTGTGTCGTGGTCAGTCATGGGAGTTAAAGGGTTAAAGAGTCCTCACACTACCCTGGCGGGCCACTAAAAATGTTAGGGCTCAACAACAAATAGAGCGAATCGTACATATTCACCATATGGACCACAGCCTTTATTAAATTCAAACAATTTATAAATTTTCACAGAATATAATATTGATGATAGCGGCTCAAACCTCCGCATCTGAATTTCGTCATTTAGGAATGAAATTATGCTTTAACTTCAGGTAGCTGTGTTGTCTTGACTGCAGTGAACCTATTTCTTTTGTTCCATTCCACATCTCAGCTCGCGGGCTTGTAAGCAAATTTCTCTCCGGTACTGTTGCTCACGTTTTGCCTAAAAAGATTCAACAAACATAATCTTAAAATTTCTCATCAAATTTATTCGAAAAAAAAGAAATAAAAAAACAAGACCGTTAAGCTCTGATGAATATTTGGAGTAAAATACATGAAAAGAACCGAGTGACTTCTTCCTCCAATTCAACTATTTGGATACTGACTAAACCAGACAAATCGAAGAGACGATAGATTAAAAACCTGTATTTACCTCCTCCAAGCGTCTACGGATGTTCATCTTCATCATTTCCAAATTTCCAGCCTCTTCTTCATCTCTAAACTTTTTCGGAGTCCTTCCCTAAAAGAGTTTAAAACGGCTTTCAGTGCGAAAAACTACAGAGTAGAACAACTACGATCATTCAACAATGACATGAATGAAATGATAAAGAAAAAACATTATTGAAAGATTCCAGCTCATTTTGACATGACTGAATACATACATAAGGTATGTCTATGCTCACAAATAAGTGTTCCTTACTGGAAAATTCCCTTTTGAAAGAAAAGACATTGCCATTCCTAATCGAAACTCCTAGAAAATTCAACTCAAATTAAACATTAACACTATCTAAAACATTTTAGATGGATTGAAAACGAAAGAGATTTCTACTTATTCATGTACTTTTTCTCCCTTGCAATTACCAGACTGAAGGCATTTAAAATTAACCATGCCGCCCTCAACTAACATCGAAGAAAGGAACAGTGCAAAAACACAAAGCGCTGTAGTCTTCATCTCGCTGCCACAAGCTTCAGTGCATGAAAAATTCATATATATATATAGTTACCGTCGACGATCCAAGATGTGTGCAGCTGTAAAGAAACGCTTTTCCAGCTCAGCTCGGAGACGATCAATCACTTTCTCTTTCGGCACTCTTCACAAAAATGCGTCAGTCAAAATGTGCCATACTATTTTTAACGACGGGATTTCAGTCAAGTTGTCCAGTTTGCCTTATTGCCAGATGTCGTTTCAATCATCCAAAAACGTGCAAAATATTTACTTCGCTGCGTAAACTGAGTAACCTTAGATAGGTATTTTGCGAAGGCAAAAGAAAATCAATAATGTGAAACCACGTAAGTGACGAGCGAGTAAGGTCTTTGGCTAAACAGCAGTTGAGGTCCTCTCGGCTGGCCGCATCTCGCTATTCTTTTGCTTTTCTGCATCTTACTGTTGGATTTCAGAAGACTATCAAGGAGACTATACTAACAACGCTGCTGACGGAAATTTCTGAGATCAAATAAATCGCTCTTTTTTTTTGTACAAACTCATGTGTCTCTAATGTAACATTTTGTTGCTTCCCGAAAGATTATAACACCGTGAAGGGTTTTCGCGTCTGACTTATATACTTCCGTATATTTCAAGTTGTCATAGGCTATTGTCAAAGAACATTGTTACTGACTTTCTATGAGGGTATTTTCAAGATGTCGCGATCAGAAATGATTTTTCGTCTCTTTCTTGATCAAAGTCAATTTCATAGCCGGGAAGGGTTGCGGAACATTTTGGGTTCGTTTATGCGCTTGTTGTGACAGAATTACCTGAAGATTAGCGGAAAGGCTGTAGGATACCTCCTTCGAAACACAGCTGTCGGGCATATTTCATTTTCCTATATTTTCACATTTAAGGCTACTTTTGTTTAAAAGGGTGTAGAAATAAAAAATCCGCCGCTGTTATTAAGTCTAGCAACTTCTTATTACTGCGACATTAATTTTTAAGAACAATTCTAAGAGTTTATTTTTTCATATAGCTTTTGAGCTCTCTGGAAATGTATAGATAGATAAAAGTTATTTTCCAGGCGCCAGTGCGACAGTGCGAGTTTTTTATGCTGTCAACCTTACAATCCACCTACGATTTTTCCTCCACGAAAATTTTTCTACATATCAATTCTAAATGCTATCAGTTATCGAATAGTGTGACTAGATCGTAAAAGTCATGATCTGCATTAATGGAATGAATAATTAACTTGGCATTAAACATCTTGTATTTCTTTCTTCTCTCTTCCAATTATTTAGATTTTAATTTTAATTTTGATTTTATCATTTTGTTTCTCAGCAAAATCGACCGCTTTGCACGATAACGATTTCCGCTAGTAGCTAAATATTTTTCCACCCGTTTCTTCAGCTGTACGATTTTCATTTAACCAGGTGCAATTTTCATTAGCATCTTTTAGTGAAGTTCTTCCTCCCACGCAAATGGAATCTAGTCTTCAAAACGCAGTCATTTCAAATTTACCTGGGACTTCTCAAGGAAGCTTATTCAAGGTAATTTTTAACATTCTTTGACGAACAAAAAATTTTTTAAGATTGTGAATATTATTATTATGGTGATAAACTCCTTTTGAGCTACCTCCACAGAAAGAGAAAAAACTTGGCTGATACCCTAGGAAGTGTTAAAATCTAGCATGCGCACAAGGAATATAGCCTTGTGTCATATTTGCAAGGAAATAAAATAACGTTACTCGAGAATCTGGTGTTAACCTGAATACGCCATTTTGGCGAAAATAGATAAACCTGGTGATACGAAATTTACATGTCTAGCGTATCTTATGCCTTTTTTTTTGGAAAAATTGCAGAGCTACAAGCTTCCAGAACAAAAACCATCGCAAATCTTGAATACCCTAAGTGTTGAAATCTAGCATGCGCACGAGGAATATAGCCTTGTGTCATATCTGCAAGGAAATAAAAGAACGTTACTCGAGAATCTGGTGTTAACCTGAATACGCTAAAGTGGCGAAAATAGATAAAGTTGGTGACAAGACATATACATGTCTAACGTGTCTTATGCCATCCTTAGTTTTTTGAAAATTTGCAAAGCTATAAACTTCCATAACAAAAACCATTGCATCTCTCAAGACGCCTTTCTGCTTGGACATGTATCCCATGCAAGCTAAAAAGAAAATAAAAAATGCAGTAATAAAATGCTTGATGTTTCCCCTCTGACAATACTTTTGTACACTGATGTTCATGAAGGTTGTGCGATAAAAGATCTTTCACATGGACTAAATGGTAAAGTTACTCACACTTTAATAAGTTAAGGTATTTATGGTCCATTAGTATTGGTATTAACAGCCCACTGTATTCCGAGCAACTACTAACGGTTTTTTCAGTTTTATTTCAAGAAGAGCGGCTCTGGGCCAATATGCTATGTGATAGAATAGAATTTAGAATTTCCTTTTGTTCTTTGGTTTATTAGTTGTTACCGGCTTGATACTTACTCAGCCGTTTGAGCTTTTGTTGTCCTTTGCGCAGTACTCAAAAAGGTGAAGAACTGGATAACGAGAATTTTACAAAGCGGAGTTTTTTTATAAACGAATTTGTTAATAAGTCAAACATAATCTCTTAGAACTTCACACACTTATGCAAATAAACTATCTGGAAGAAATCTGTCAAACATACACATTCTAATTAATGAAAATTGAATCGTTTGTTCCACGACGTAGAGTCTCTTCTATTTAAGTGTCAGCTATCAGTTACAGATAATAATCAACAGGTTAAAGCTGACACCACAATTGATACTGACAATATATTGCGAGGTATTCTCTATCATTTCAACCAGAACCTTATAACCTCGATTAAAACACTCTCCATTTTATGCTTGATTTTGCATTTCGCTTTATCTTTCTTTGCTGCAAAGTCGAGCAACATTTTGTATTTAAATTTTACGCAACTCAGTTTTATGCCGCTATACACACGACGGTTGACATTTCATCCTGAAAAACATTTGATCGGAACCTGCGGTTCGCCAAACTGCATGACGATGGAAGTCTTATAGGAAAGGGAAAAAAACTGATATTTCTCAATGTCTTAAAAACCTGCCCAGTGAAATTTGAGCAAATACTATAGGAAACAAGCTTATTCTGTTAGCATGTCTACACGCCGGCCTGGCCTTTTAAAATTTTACGGCGCAACCCAAATATAGTGAACGCATAAATTTTCTATCATATGACAAGGAAGTGCTGAGATGAATCTAAGAGTTCTGATTGGTTCTTAATCGGAAGCGGTCATTAACTGTGATTTTTACTCTCGAAAACCAGCATATTCAAAATTTGCAATTAAAACTTTAAAGAAACAAGTCCGGCAACAAGTCACCAAACGATTGATTACAATGAAGGACGACGAAAAAGAATAAGATCATTTACCACGCAAATTTTATTATGATCTGGAAACCTCTAAAAAAAGCAATGGCGAAAGCCAGGAAGCTATTTATGATTTTATCAAAAAAACTGAGCCGATAAAAGCGAAGAAGATATAAAGCTTAGTGATTAAAGCCTCTAATTGCGTGCAGCGGTATTTAGGTCATTGGGGATTGTATATACGAGACAAAACAAATTAAACAACAACAACAAACATTGAACGCTACTCTTCCACACACCCAACCTCTTCCGAGCGTCTATGGATGTTCATCTTCAGCATTTCTAAATTTTTTAGCCTCCCTTTATACGTCATAACTTTCAGTTTCTGCAAAATTTTAAAAGAATGTTAAGAGAAGCAACCTCGACTTTTTCTGCACTTATATATATATATATATATATATATATATATACATCCTGACTCGCCTCCATTCCCCTTTTTCCCTGCAGATCTTTATGTCGATATATATGGCCATCTACTAACACCAAAAACTACGTACAAATTAACTTCATTTATTTCCTCTGGGTCATCCTTAAAACTTTAAATAACATCTATATCTGACCATGTAAACCTGCTTATTTTTTCCCCATAACGTGACGTTTGAATCGTGTTTTTTACAGTCATTCATCAGGTCATTTTTCGTCTCTAATCTTTTTAAGGGAATGTCCTCACTGAGCTGTTTTAGCACCATCGTTCTATAATAGTTTCAGTTTTTCTCCGCCCTTAATTCACGGTGCAACTTTCGGTTGATTGCCTAAAACACAGATAGATAAGGACCACACAGAAACTAAACAAACAGTCAAATAAACACGAGGATTGTTAAGAAAATCATTCAGTCGTGGAAGTCATAAGGATAAGAAGTAGATGCAGTATTAATTGTGTGAAATGCCCAATGTAAGCATGAATAAACGAACAGAATTTGAAACGAGTTTCAGACTTTCAAAAAGCTTTAAAATCCACAGTTTATGAATCAGTGATTACGTTGGTACGGTCCTAACCAGATTATCACTTTAAAAAATAATAAAAATGTGTAGCTGACTAGTTATACGAATTGGCTCTCGCTGTACTGTATATACCTATCATACTTTAAATTGTGAAAAAAACAAAGCACATGTCGCTTCCTATATATACCATGATTCAGCAATATGTATTCCATACTTCAGTTTCGATCAAAGCATAAGATCAAGATTTTAGGATTTTTTGGATATATTTCAGTGTATTCGTACTATGTGTAATCAATCCTCTCTTGATCGACACGCAGAAGAATTCTCTCTTATTCGTCTTTTCTTTTATCTCCTGGCCGAAGCTCTTCAAAAACGTAAGTATAATCGTTCTTTGTAAACGACATGATAGCCAATCGTTTCTTATCCTTTGTTTGGGTTTGAGGAAAACCTTTATTTCTGTGATAGAAATGCAAACTAATTGCTAATCTATGAAAACAAACAATCGTCCAATTAATTCATCTAATAATAACACAGAAGTTTAGAATTCCTCGGTAAGTTGCAACTCGGTAATAGAGTTTGATCAGCTCTCTTCAAGATTGATCATGACGGCCATTTCGTTCTCAAAGAGGCTGCTTCTTTTGATATCTTACCTTATATGGATTGCATTTTAGTTTCCAGTTTCTATTTCTAATTCTTTACCTGAATTTTACTCCAGCTCTCTGTAATAACCAGCTTAACTAGTCAATATCGATATTTTGTTAAATTATATTTATCAGAATTGTTTTGACGATCATAGGTTTATAGGCCTCGAGATAGACCACTTCACTCTAAATATCTTCATTAGTAATTCTCCGTACTGTCTACCATACAATTCTTATGATGTTAATTTTGAGAAATTGGTATTGGGTATTTCTTTATTCTCATCAGTTGTTTGCTTGATATTGTAATAAAATCTTTAGCAGAAAATGTGTCGTGGTCAGTCATGGGAGTTAAAGGGTTAAAGAGTCTTCACTACCCTGGCCGCCACTTAAAATGTTAAAGCTCAACATCAACCAGAGCGAATCGTACATTTTCACTATTTGGACCACAGCCTTTATTGAATTCAAACAATTTATAGATTTTCACAAAATACAATATTGATCATAGAGGCTAAAACATTTACATCTCAATTTCGTCAAGTTAACGTTTGCTGTGTAATCTTCACTACATTTCACATCCCTGCTCGCGGGCCTGTATGCAAATGTCTCTCCGGTACTGCTGCTTGCGTTCTGCCTATAAAGATTCAATAAACATAATCTTAAAATTTCCCATCAAATTTTTTCAAAATTAAAAAAAAAGACAAAAAAACAAAAAACGAATAGCAAGAAAATACATGTTAATGACTTCTTTCTGACGAATATTTGGATATTGACTTCAATAACATGAAAAACCGAGCAGACGATACCGAATGTTCATCTTTGTCATTTCTCCAATTCAAACTATTTGGATATTTCTAAAAGAGTTTAAAATGGCTTTCAGTGCGAAAAATTAGTTGAACCACTTGGATCATTCAACAAAGACGTGAATGAAGTGATAAAGAAAAAAATTCCAGCTCATTTTAACATGACTAAATACATAAGGTATTTCTACGCTCACTGCTAAGTGTTCCTTACTGGACATCCTCCTTTTAAGGAGGTTCCAGAGGGTTTTTTTACCGCGCAAGATCTGGGTACGAACAAGTCGCGAGCTTTAAAAGTGTCAACATGCAAAACAAACATGGCGGCTCGATACGATCGCAAGATTGTTATCTGAAAAGGTGTGTTAAAACAGTTTAACACAATACAGTTTTTATGTTTTATTTATAGGCCTTCTACGTCTGAAAAAGAGGTCAACCGAAAAGAAAACACCATGGGAAAGATTGCCAAAGGCGATAGACTGGAAAATTTACGCATGCTCAGATATGGATCTTGGCGAAGTTCTATTCCATTACGTAGTGTTTTGTGACGAAGAAAGTAGGGATCTTCCAAGCAAGATTTATCGCGTTTCCTTCGGTGGAATTTCTTAAGGTTTGTTGGACCTTTAAATATATTTGTGCCCTTCCTGGTGCTTGTTGATAAAAAAATTCATGAGACAAAAACCACAGAGTGCTGAAGTCTTCATCTTGCTGACACAAGCTTCAGGGCAATAAAAGTTCTGGTATATATAATAACCGCCGATGTTCCAAGATGTGTCCAGCCAAATAGAGAGGCTTTACCACTTCAGCTCGGAGAAAATTAACCACTTTCTCAGTCTGCACTCTTTACAAAAATGCGTCAGTCAAAATGTGCCTTAGTTTTTTTTGATAACGGGACTTTAATCAAGTTGTCCGACTCTGAAAAGCCAGACCTCTTCATGCTGTTTTCTCAGAGGAAAACATCAAAACTCACGATGTTCGTACTGCAAACATACGCCACGCTGAGGGAAATTAAATAGGAGATTGAAAATTATACCACAACGTCCTCGTTTGCTGTTTATCACGCAATCATCGAATAGAGTCAAAGAAAAAATATGATTACAACTTCCAGAACTGCTAATGTTACGCTGTGTGTTAATAGCACATATACCGCCTCAGTCACTGACTATCATCTAGGCGATGTGTACAGTTCATACATTTCATTGATTATGATTTAGGCGATGTGTATGGTTTGGGTTATTGAAAGCATATGAATTGAATTGAATATGCAACCCGTCAGAAATGCATTCATTTAATTTTTCTCCCTAACAAAATACCACAAAACTTAATTAACTTGAAAGCGAAAGGCGTCATGTCATCGGGTGTACCGTCGTAGATGCTTTTTTTTTTCGTCTTACTGCATATGTTAATTTTAGTTAATTTAATTTAGTTAATTGAATTATCACGCAATCATCGAATAGAGCCAAAGAAAAAAATTTGATTACTTCCAGAACTGCTAATGTTAACAATGTGTGTTAATAGTACATATACAGCCTCAGTCATTGATCATGATTTAGGCGATGTGTATGGTTTGGGTTATTGAAAGCATATGAATTGAATTGAATGTGCAACCCGTCAGAAATGCATTCATTTAATTTTTCTCCCTAACAAAATACTACAAAACTTAATTAACTTGAAAGCGAAAGGCGTCATGTCGTTGGGTGAACCGTCGTAGATGCTTTTTTTTCATCTTCCGGTCTGTATATGTTAATTTTAGGTATTGATAGGTACTTTCTAGTGAGAGAAAATGAAAATTGTTTTCCTTGCAGGGCTGACGGATATAGATAAAGTCTTACGATGTTTGACTAGCCGATGTGCCTTACCGTCCAAAACAAGCAGCTGGCGGGACAAATATCACATTATTTATTCAACTGACTTCTTTTTCACCTGTCTCGTGTTCAAGTTATCTTCTGTTGGTGACCTCCCTCACTTTATGCAGCGACATGGTAATTTGTACTTAAGTCAAAGTCAGAAAAACTGACGAATCATAGCCAGACACACATGAAATAATTCGATATTTCATAGTTGTCGACAAATGTACTGTTCCAGAGACCTCTAGATGCCTCATTTGGCTTGTTCGAAACGGAATATTCCATCGAGGGCCTGAGAATTTCCAGTTTGCTCTGAAACCGAAAAACAGAGGCGTGACTGTATAAAGGACAACAGAAAACACCTTTACAAATCGGCGTCAAGTCGAAGTTCAACAAATGCAATATTTGCTCATACGTTGATTTTGATGCGCGTGCGGGAACAAATCAGAGAGTTTAGATGGCTTTAGCATCGGCGTCAAGTATGTGTTCAAACACTGGTACTTCAAAAGCTCTCTCATACTTCACAGCCTCCTTTCCAGTTTTCCTGATTATTTTACCTATTCCTGGAAACTTTCTCGTCTGTTTGACCATCATAAAAGATCCCTTTAGGAACTTGAAAGCGCCTTTTAACTATTTCCTATTTTTAAGTCTTGCGTCCACTGATCTGGTTGTGGGAATGATTATGGATCCCGTGTCAGTTGCTTTTCACATCAGTGAAGGGCTTCAACTAAATATCGTAGATATCAAAATCTTGCACATTTTATACTTTATTTTGTGCACGGCGTCTATTTTAATACTCATGGCACATACCGTGGACAGATATGTGGCCGTATCATCGCCAGTGAAGTGAAAAACAATGGTTACCTCCAAGCGCGTTATTTTAACATCCCTGTCAATTTGGTTGGCAGCACTAGGGTTTTCTTTTGCATACTTCCAACTCGGATTTATATTCTACTCCTTCATTTTTACAAACACTGCTGCTCTCATCACGTTTGGGGTTCTCATCTTTGTTCATGTAGGAATACTTAAACGACTGCGACAAAGATCGAGATATTGGCGAAAGAGGGGATAAATGGAGAGCACGAAGTCTAATTTACGGGAGAACCAAAAAAAATCTTATCAGTGCAAACATGGACAGCAAGACAGTCAAAGCATTGATGATTGTGCTTCTTGCGTTTTTTTCTTCGTTCACACCAGCCTGTGTTATAATTTACTTGTTAAATTTTTGCACAGGCCGTAGTTGTGTGCTAATTCATTGGTTGCGGGATTTGCAATTCTTAATTGTGTTGTGCAACTTTGGTATCAACCCTTATTTATACGCATGGAGGCTTCCTCAGTTCAAAAGAGCTTTTTACAAGCTTCTTCATCTCAAGGTACGCACGAAATTTAGTGACATTGCCACAACGTCAATTCATGCCACTGGCAAACGAGAAACTAGCCAAATACCTGAAACTATTAGCGGTGAAGACGAAAGGATTTCATTCGTGTAATAAAACTTTACAAACATAAACACATAATAATTTGCATTATTAAAGCACCTAAATATAGTACGTATTTAAAATTTATCAGAATGGGTGATAAAAGATTTCGGAACAACTTACTCTTATTTCTATCTACAAACATTACGCCATCAACATTGCTGATCCCAGCAGTATGCAGAACGCGTGTCATATGAACTTCGTAATAGATCTCGCTCACCGTAGAGTCTCTGTGGCTCAGTGGTAAAGCATCGGAGCGCGGAATCCGAAGGTCTGAGGTTCGATTCCTTATGGGGACTCAGAACTTTTTCTTTGTCCCATGCTCGTGACAAGACGAAAAAACATTCTCAGGAGCCAATGGGCTGATTGTGACTGATCCATGTGGTTCCAATTCATCTGCAGATTCGGAGATAACTTTATTTGATGGGAGAATTGTTCATAACCGTATAAATGGGTTTACTATATGCCATGAAATTTTTAGAACAGGTTTTGTCCGTACGCCTTTCCCAGAATTTTCCACTCATTAAAAAACAAAGTACCTTCGAGGTTGCGTTTTCCTGCCTCTTAAAGCCGTTAGTAAGACCTATACTCGAATACGCTGTCCCCGTCTGGAGCCCCTACCAAAAAAAGGTTATCGAATCCTTGAAAAAAGTCCAAAGAAGTGCATCTCGGTTGGCGTTAAAGCAAAAACGCGAAGAAATGAGCTATGAAGACCGCTGCCGCCTACTGAATTGGCAAACTTTGGAGAAACGAAGAGAGTTTTTATCTCTGATCCAGTGCCACAACATAGTTCTGGGAATAGATTGTCTTCCTTTTTCGGACTTTTTTGAACTTACTACATGTAATCGAACGAGAGCCAATCATGATTATAAGCTCTACGTAAAAATAACTATCGTAAATTGGTATAAGTAATTTTTTTTTTGTACGGATCGTTAATATGTGGAACAATTTGCCTAAAGATATTGTACAAGCAGGATCAATGACTTTATTTCGTAACAGACTAAAAGATTTACATGAATATTGATTGAGATGATGGTAGACAGTTTTCAATTATCTGTATATACTGTTTTTGGTCTTTTTATTCAGGGAATCTTTTGCATAGGGTCAACCTCTAGAATATCCCCTTTTGAGAGATACTTTTACAATTTTTCATTTTCCTTCTCTTGAATAAAGTATTGTCATTGTCATTGGTGCACCATAATCTACATTTTCTGATTTAATTCGACAAACGTACTGAGAGAATTAATCTTGTCCTAGTCAACTAATCAGTTTAAGTCAACATAATCATACTCAGGAAGGAAGGATTTAAAATGACACAAATAAAAAATTTGGTCTACGGATGCACTGAATATATGGGTAGCTTCTTCAAAGAAGACTGTGTCCCAGTGATGCACATTTCAATCGAACACGAACCGGGGGAGGGTGCATTCGTTTCAATTATATAGAAAGGCTGTGGGGAAGGGGGGGTTCCTACCCTGAGTTTCAAATACTTCAACTCCGTATATATCTTTGGTATATCTGTACTTTCCTTGTAGTATGGTGTACTTTTTATCTACATTTAATAAATCAATACAAAACTCAAACGTCTTGCAGTAGCAAGTAGAGGGGAAAGTATCTTCAATACATTTCATTTTTTCTTTTGCAACGTTTGTAATCTTCGATTAAATGCGTCAGTTGCAGCTTTCCTTATTGTTTTCCCTACTGCAGCCCTTAAAACCCCTTCCTCTATATACCTTTAGCCTGAGAGCATCAAGCTTTTTAGAGGTGCAACCATGAATACAGTTTATCGTAAGTACTCCCCCCTTCTCTTAACGGAAAGCATAGAAAGTAATATTTGATAACCTCATAGAGATGTGTTATTAGAATGCCTTCTCCGTTGAGAGATATTCGTTTACTTTAAACAGTAATTTTGAAGAATATTCATGATTTCGAATAAGAGATTCATTTCCTCCAGTGCCTTGGTTAAAATTGCTAGGGAAGAAATGATATTTGAGTTGGCCATGATGTCTTCAACAGGAACTAGCAGCTTGATTCTTAAATTTTAATTCCTTGAAATGCAAATTTTTAGCACCCTCTTTTGAATCATTAAAGCAGGCAACGCTTAAATCGTAACCGTTGTATGTTTTACCGTTCACACTGTGGTTTACCTTTTTTAAAATAGAAAGGCCACTTTCTCGATGAGAATTGCAAAATTGTGTGATTCCATTGACATTTCACTTCACCATAGACACTGGTCGGATGATTATTATTATCATCTTCGTTATAATCAATATTTGCTAGTTAAAAAAGATGAAAGACGATGAGAGAAATGGCCAGCCATATAATTGCGATTGTTTTGTCTTGTTGAGTACACTCAGTTAAGCTTTGTCAGGATTAAAACTAATTTGCGCCGGAAAAAAGAATCAAAAACTAATCAAATATGTTATCGGATAACCGTCTCATTCTTCTTTGTCTTTCGATTTTAACATCTCTACGAGCGTTTAATTTTGTTATTTATTTATTTATTTATTTATCCATTCGTTTTTTTTTTACGGATTTCTTTTCTCTCGCGCAACGCAATCCTATAGAAAACCATTATGCTAACATATTTAAAACGTAGTGGCGGTCAACGTGAGCCAGTCCGGATAAAGCCTCTCGGTTCTGCACTCGCCCAGCTTTGTCGACACTTTTTAAAAAAACCTGAAATTTTAACGAGGAGGCCGACCGCTGCATGTTTTCCCTTTTTATTCCACTGGCTGGGAGGTTATGGCGCATGTTACCTTAATGTCGGATTAAAATAAAAGGTACATGGCGCATGTTACCTTAATGTCGGATTAAAATAAAAGGCACCAAAATAAAATACACCATTGGCAGCCGAATAAGGTGCTACATTGCCGGGACGCATTGCAATTCGTGCGATATCGTTCGTTCGATCTTATCGGATAGTGTGAAATTTAACGTGAAATTCTCCGCGGTAGGTGATGATGTAAATTTCACTTTATGGTTAGATGTTGACAGTTCTGGTGCCTGTCAGCCATCGGTCTTGGCACGTTTTGACAAAGACGGTCGACATCTATCGAAACCGCCAACATGTGAGTATGCCGAAAAGACTACCGGCTGCAGGGAAAGAGGTTATGTAAAATAGTTTGAGCTTATCCCAGCCTGATTACATTCTTTATATATGTATAGCTCTGTAGCTCAAACTGATAGGGATTTGTTGCCGTTCCATGATTCTTTAAATTAAGGATCAATATCATGCCTTTCTTGAATGGTGAAACAAATGACTGCAGCAGCTGTGCAAGCGGAAAGATCCCTAATGTTTACTTGGGGATGCACCGGGCTCATAGTACATTGTGAATAAAAATGTAATGAGAATTACAGGGGCAATAACTCGTGTTTAAATAAACATCAATATAAGGCCTCGAGATAAACCCTTTCACTCTAAAGATCTTATTAGTAATTCTCCTTTCTGTTTATCATACAATTTTTTATGATGGTGATTTGGAGAAATTGGTATTGGGTCAGCTGATAATCCACTCAATGATATTTTTCCTTATTCTCATCAGTTGTTTGTTTGATATTATATTGAAATCGTAAGGAGAAAATTTGTCGTGGTCAGACATGGGAGTTAAAGGGTTAAAGAGTCTTCACACTACCCTGGCGGGCCACTTAAAATGTTAGGGCTCAACAACAAATAGAGCGAATCGTACATATTCACCATATTGACCACAGCCTTTATTGAATTCAAACAATGTATAGATTTTCACAGAACATAATATCGATGAGAGCGGCTAAAGCATCTACATCTCAATTTCGTTATTTAGGAATGAAACTATGCTTTAACTGCAGCTGTATAGAAACGCTTTACCACCTCAGCTCGGAGAAAATTCACTACTTTCTCAGTCGACATTCTTCACAAAAATACGTCAGTCAAAATGTGCTATAGTTTATTTGATAACGGGATTTTAATCAAGCTGTCTAGTTTGCCATATTGGCAGAAGTCAGTTCAATCATCCAAAAATACGCAAAATATTTACTTCGCTGCATAAACTGAATAACCTTAGATAGATGTTTTGCGAAGACAAAGAAAGTTAATGAGGTGAAACCAACTATGAGTAACATGACGAACGAGTTACGTCATTGGCTAAACGGCAGTTGAGGTCCTCTCGGCTGGCTGCATCACGCTATTCTCTTGTTTTCCTGCATCTTACTGTTAGATTTCAGAAGACTATGAAGGAGGCCATAATAACAACGCTGCTGACGGCTTTTCTTAGTTCAAATAAATCGCACTATTTAATGTTCAAACTCATGTGCCTTTGCTTCATTTGCTTCCCGAAATGATATATGAGACCGTGAAGGGTTTTCGCGCTGATTTATATACTTCCGTATATTT